AAACACAAAAGATGTGTTGTCTGCAGCTTACTATGCTCAAGCTCTCATGGCTGCCGTGCTACCATCCCAAATCCTCCATCTTGCAGATCCTCATGTGTGCCCTTGGCTTCTCTGGCCAGGCCTGGAGCTCAGCCTCCTTTCTTCTGCTTGTGCTACTCTGTCAACTGCATATGTGCTATTCCCAGCAGGAATCAAAGAGAGAGGCCATGCCAGTTAATGGAGTGCATCCTGTGCATGGAGACCAGAGATGTGGGTGCTAGGGAACTGGAAACTTGGGCTAATGGATTTCTTCATCTGACTGTGGGCTAAGTGAGGAGATGTATAAAAAGCAACAATTGGTTGGCTGATTTTACTTATTCCTGAAAGATTGTTATACAACTGTCCCTAATGGGGAATTTATAAGCATATCTCAGCTATAAGTAGACAGGTCTCAATTTTTCCCACTACTCGGAAATGTAAGCCTGTTCTCATTTTGGAGAAAGATGTTATTTTAATCTAGAGATTATAGAAATAATATAAAATATGCTTTCTCTTCACAAAGAAATTATAAATAAGAACTTGAGAACAGGGAAAGAGGACAAAAGAGAAAAAAGTTATTTGGAAGTAGAGTGTGTGGAAGTATAATATGTAAAGTAGTATATATAAATATAAATATATATAATTATCAATTATCAAAATTCTTTGGTCTAATTCTTTATATAGGTTCGTCCCCTGAAATCAGAGGTGATTGTGCTTACATAACTAATAATAGAAATGCATCAGTCTAGAATGTGTTATCTTTTGCAATTATACATCTGACCTGTGAAATGTTTGTGCTATTGTTTTAAATACTGACCTTAGTTGAGTGGAAATTCATCTCAGGAACTTGGACATAACAGCAGATGTTGACAGTCATTGATAAAACCCTAGAGCGGAAGGATCTCAAACAAGCATTCCAAGCTATCCCCCTGCCGATCTGTGGTGCAATGCACTTACACGTTGGTCTTATGGAAATCACCATTGTGGAAACAGTAGTGGCATTTTTACATGCATGAGCATCCTCCTACTAAGAAGCATCAATCATCTTGCTTCTCCAAGTCCTCAGGATGGGAGGGTCTGCTGCCCTTTGGTGTTCAAATAAAATTGACCTAAGGCTCTGTTGTATATATTCAGGTCTAACACGCTATCCCAGATTCTTATCAACATGTCCTCCTTAGATTCTACTTTTTACAGGGAGCTCCTATGTGCACATGGCCCTTCTCTTCTCTCCATCCGGAGATCCTCATTCTGTTTCTACAAAATAACACCAACACAAGACACTTACATAGAACAGATCTCCACTCTGTCTCCATTTGAGACTGAGGGGAGCATCATGTCGTGAGACGGCACTATAAAAAATTATAAATTGATGTCTATTTTTTTTAATTTGTATTTATTTATGATAGCCACAGAGAGAGAAAAAGAGACAGGCAGAGACATAGGCAGAGGGAGAAGCAGGCTCCATGCACTGGGAGCCCAATGTGGGATTCGATCCCGGGTCTCCAGGATCACGCCCTGGGCCAAAGGCAGGCGCCAAACCGCTGCGCCACCCAGGGATCCCCATAAATTGATGTTTAAACAATCTTCTCAAAAGTCCTTTTTATTGCCCTGTGGAAATTCTTACTGCCAATTCTCATCCCAGCATCTTTCAGGTTCTCTCCTTCTTCTAAATGGACCTCTTTCTTTTTTTCCTACTTCCATGATGTGGGGCCCATCATACCCATAACTCAGTTCTCTTTCTGGAAGGAATTTTGCCTCTGGCATTTAAAGTATCATTTTCCTGCCCTCACAACTTCTTGTTAGGATTAATAACATTTTAAAATTGAAATGTTGGGTCTATTTCCTCTTACTCTTTCCATCAAATGATAGGTCATCTAAGTTAAACTGTTGTCTTCAGGTACCTGGCTGGCTCAGTTGGTAGAGCGTGCAACGCTTGATCTTGGTGTAGTGAGCTCAAGCCCCACATTGAGTATACAGCCTACTTAAATAATATATATATGTGAAGAGAGAGAGGGAGAGATGCGAATCAGTACTTACAACTGAAATTTCTATTCAGGAAAGGGAATTACATTTGAATAAAGATAAAAGTGGTTTATCCAAAATGACTTTCATGTATAATTTTGCTTATGGAGTATATCTATTAGTTACTATTACAATAATACTGCTTGACATTTCATCCCCAAACTCAGTAGCTTTTATTGTAATGCATGTGCAGCTGGGCTAGGGTTTGATTGATCAAGACTTGACTTAGCTCTAAGATGCTGATGGGGGGGTCCAGGTTTGTTCCCCATGACTCCTAGTCCCTTGCAGGCCAACTGGAGCATGTCCTCCTTATGCTATAGTGCATTTCAAACCTTTGATTGTGTTATGTCCACTAAGATCCCACTGGCCAGAGCAAACATCAGTGAACAGGGAAGAAAATTTCTCCCACAGTGGGAAAAGAGGGGAATGAATATTTGCTGAACGATAATTCAAATTATTCTATTAAGTAAATTTCATATAATTGTCCATCATGCCCAACATCTGTATCTCTCTGCCAGCCAGATCTGACAGGTGCCAACAGTGGCTTAAACCAAGAGGGGCTCTTAGTCTGTTGGATGCACGGTGTGTCAGGGAAATAATCCATTCATGTAGGAGCAAAGATGGCTTTCCCAGAAAAAATGCATTTAAGAAAAAGCTGACAACCTCCTTACAGCAATTTCCCTAGAGGAAACTGCAGGGCAGCTCATGAAACTGACCCAATTTCTACAACCTAGTGAGAGACAACTATTTGCACCTTGCAATAAATTGAGTGCATGGGTCTTAAGCAATCCATTGTGCATATGTCATATAAAATGAGGCTCTCCAGGCTCCAGGTTATAAAATAATGTAATTGATGCTAAAATATTAAAATTTAATTAATCTCATATTAGTTTCTTAAAAATGTCATGCAAAAATTGTTTCTGTTTCACCATCTGGTTTGTCCAATTGATCTCTACAGAAATGCTGGAGTATAACAATCTTTCTTATACATATCTCTGGTTTTTTGATTTAGGACAAAAGGTGGTAAAGTATCTTTTATTTTATTTTTTTATTTTTTATTTTTTTGGTAAAGTATCTTTTAAAAAATTATTGTATCATTTTTATTGCATGAATACAAATTGGCACAAAAATCATTACTATACCACACACAAAAATATATAGAATACTCTAATGAATATTTTGTGTATCTACAACTTAAGAAATAATTTCCCACTACCACACAATTTGTTTAATGATAACATTATTGAGCAAGTGATGATGATAGCAAAATCACTACATAATATATTGTTGTTGGTATTGTAAAACTGGCATCACTGTTTTACAAAGCAATATGGGAACACATGCCATTAGCCTTAAAAGTATGCATACTTTTTGCCTAGGAGTCTATTGAAGGATATTATTTGTGAGAAGAAAAACATTCAGACAAAGAGGTACTCATTTTAGCATTATCTATACAGATGAGAAATTAGAAGTGACCTAAATATCCAACATTTTAGAAATAGTTAAGTAATGGTATACCAACTCAATGGGTAATTATAGAATCAGTTAAATTGAAAATCTGAATATTGCTTAGGAAATTTTTTTTTGCAAAGTATTTTTTTATTGTGGTAAAATATACATAACATAAAACTCACATTGTAACCATTTTGAAGTGTATAGTTCTGTGCATTAAATACAATCACAGTGTGGTGCAACCATCCTCACTGTCCATCTGCTATAGTACATCTTATGGGCCAAATCTAGCCCAGTGGCTGTTTTTGTAAAGTTTTATTGGAACTTCGCCATGCCCGTTTGTTTATGTGTGGTCTGTTGGCTGTTTCAGTGGCAGCTTGAGAAGTTGCAACGGAAATGGCATGACCACAAAGCCTAAAATATTTACTGTGTGGCACAGAAAATGTTTGCCAATCCTGACTTAACATAATGCTAGATAATTGAAGTTTTTGAATTTGGGCTATTCACACAGGATTCCAGGATGAATATTGTCCTTGAGTTACCCTTAGACAAAATTATTTGTTAAGGCAATCAGCAGTGTAAGCAAATACCACAAAGCTAATTTTAACCTATTTAAGAAAACAATCTTTTTAATACTTTAGGCTATGAGCATTCATATCCCAGCAGGAAGTTATTATACCCATTATAAAATTTGTTTCTACTGGTTAAAGTAGTCCCTTAAAAATTTTACTAAGTATTGTGTTTTTAGCTTTTAAGAAGATGACTTTATCTGCAATAAATGAGTTTTTAAAAATATACTTGTCATTACTTCAAACATTAATATAGACCATTCCACCTGGATTCACACACATAACTGCATCTGAACCGGTACAGTTTGACTGTATTGTATTCATGGGTATTTCTGAACACCATCCCCGGATCTCCTTTTTGAGGTGAAGAGAGCAAAACCCTGTATCTTGCCATGTGTCTACTCTTGGAGATCACCTGACAGTTTAAGAAAAAAGGAATACAAATCTTTATCAAGACTTGAAGAGAAAACAAATATAGATTTTAAAAGTGAATATAACCCCTCAATCATTTCCAGTATGTGTGTGGAATCTAGGTCAGTGAACAATCTGGAGTCAGCTCTATAGATGTGTGCATTTCTATGTCCCAGGATTCACTGTGAGCCCCCCAAAAAAGAGCTCAGTATGAGGGCTGGATTCTGGAAGAGTTCATTCCAACCTCTTCTCCACTCTGGACTGAGCATGGAACTGTCTACAGGACAATCCACTGGACAGTGGACTCCAAAGTTGGAGATTAAGTCAAAACATGGGAGGTATTGACTGGCCACACTTTTGAAAGGATGCTTTCCCAGAAACTGCCCCACAGGTGTACTGGAGCGACCTCGGTTTCCTTTATAACACACATGGAGTTGGAATCTGCAAAATGTTGGTTAGGTGGCTATCCATGTCAGCTGAATGCACTTGGCTCAAATTTCACTTTTTTGTTTGTTTTTGTTTTCTCAGGAGTCGGGTGGGAGACTATGCTGCTAAAGGGAGATGAGGCAGTCTCAGATGCCACAGAAACATCCAATGCAGACATGACTATCAAGGTAAGAGATCCTTTCTTTAGTTTGGTTCTCAAAGTACGTCTCTAGAGGAAAACAAGCCTATGGCAGACTTCTAGGGACAAAATGAGCACCGTCCCTCAACCTGCTGGGTTTCTCTCTCTCTATTCATTGGAGCCTCCGTGAGTCAGCTAGACGTAAGATTTTCTGAAATTTGGCATCTGGATTAGGAAACCACCTGAAAGCTAGAATCCAAGGTGCGAATTCCAATGGGCTTGTTGCAGGGTCTCCAGAGAATATCTGCATGTAGGTTGTCTGCAAGTGGTAACCCCATGGGCACAGTAGAGCAAATCTGAGAATAATGAGCTGAGAAACCAGGCCCCACTGTGCATTGTGAAGAAAGGTCAGAGAGGCATGGAGTGGCTTTGATCTTGACTCAAGATTTCCAGTGATACCAGTGGGAAGGCAGCATGTGGCCCACTCCAGCTGGAACACCAGTGGCCAAAAGCTTACAAAATGAGTCATCTGGAAACCAACCTAATTATCACTGTTCAAATTAAATGCATGAGTTTATAATCATTGCCTAGATTAAGGAATCCATAGCAAAATTTACCAGATTCAACCGCTTCCCCTCTATTAATAGATTAGACACAAAGGAATGGTTCTTCCTTCTTGAAATTCTGTTTATGTTTCAATTAACAGAAGCTGGGAGCTGGAGGGCTTTCTAACATTTTTGCTTGAATGATTAGAGTTTAAATCTAGGCAACTTGCAAATTTTTCATTGAAAAACCAAGAGTAGTATCCCACCATTTTTCTAAGTAAGCTCTAGGCCCAACATGGGGCTTGAATTTATGACCCCAAGATCAAAAGTCACTTGCTCCACTGACAAGCAGCCAGGTACCCCTTTTATATTGAGATTTACCTAGAGATATTCCATTCCTGGATTTATTAGTAGAGGTTGTACAAAAGAATATACAGGATGAATTTATTCTAGCTTTCCTTTGTAATGTGGAGGCTGGGCTTATGTTATCTATGTTTAAAATGTTAGAGAGCAAACAAAAATGCCACAGTCAAATTAAATGAGAGATGGGATAGTAGCCTGAGTGGTCAAAAAAGTCAACTAATCTAAACAATAACGATTCAGCACTGAAAGTTCATTTGCTTATAATTATAATGTTTAGCTGAAATTGCAAGACAATAATGTAGATTCAATGGTGTGTTAGTGTCCCACTGGCTATTATTGCAAAGACAGAAATTTGTGTCTATGACCGCATTGGACAGAGAGAGAGAGAGAGAGGCAGGTGGATGAATTTGATGGACGTAGATTTGCCCTTTTGGAGTCTGTTGTCCTTTGAAGTATGTGTTCCTAAAATGTGTTGCTAGTGAGCCGCAGATGTAGTGCAGACATTTAAATGATCAGAAAGACTAGAGTTTGTTTTGTAAAAGCAAATGGCGTATTCCGGTAGAAGCAAGTCTTGGCCAACTCCCATTTTTGTAAGGTTGCTACTTAATCAGTCTGCTGATCCTTGGAACTAGGATCCTGAGTAAGTTGTATTTGGGTCTAGCCAGTTTAGATGTCAGTCTTGATCTCTCTTTCTCTTCTCTTTAATAAACAACTGGGAATGTGTAACAGAGGATTTTTAGTTCTCTGTTGAACTGAACCTGCTCTGAAGACTGGACACCATACACTTTAAAAAGTTAAACAAAACAGAAGTATATTTAAATATACCAGTAAATTCCTACAAATAAGATTAAGTTCCTCTATTAATACCAATTGCTTCTCACTAAAGAATTTGTGAAACCTCTGGTGGATATAACATAGGGAACTACTTCTGTTTAGATCTTCGCCTTTGGTTTTCCCAATTATACAGCAATCACTAATTTTTTTTTCTGTCTGACTTATTTCACTTAGCATCATACCCTCTGGGTCCATCCATATTGTCACAAACGGCAAGATCTAAACCTTTTTTATGACTGAGTAATATTCCATTATATATATTTCTTTATCCATTCGTCTAGTGGTAAACACTTACCACTGTTCACTAGAAGAAAAGGGCACTCATATTTCAGTATAGTGTCTATGTTACACCTTATTCTGTTTTGCTGCATGTCTAGACATTGGTTTTTTAAAAAAAGGGATGGATCGGTATTTTCTAAAACCTGTGTGACTCTGAGAATCACCTGCAGCAGTGTATAAAAACAGCAGTAAAAATACAGAGTTTTTTGGGGGAAAACATTGTCTCAGCATACTGCTAAAGCTGTATGGCTCCATGAGCCCTGTCACTGCTCCTGGTTTTCTGGTTTCCAACTAGCATGAGAAAGGACTTCCTTGTTCAAAACCCTTTGATTCCATTCCTTTTGAACACTGACCAAGGCCCAGGCATCTCCTCCTGGCTTTCCATATTTCCTTACTCTAACTAACTGCAATTTTGTTTCTGGACTTGTCTTCTGTTCTTTCTGTACCCATCTTTGCCTTCTCTACCCAGCCTATTTGTAGCCAGAGCGATCCTTTCAAAAGACCAACAGGATGACATCCCTCCGCTTCAGCCCTGCTGGCCTTCCCATTGCCTTGAGCACCTAAACCAAACTCCAGCAGGTGCTCTGCTGTTTAAAACCCTGTGACTTTTATTCACTGCCTCCTTGGTCTTTCTCCCACTCTCTCCCTCTTTCTCTCCCAACCTAGTTAACTTCTCTTTATACTCCAGTCTTGGGCTCAAATATTATCTCCTCACATAGCACCACTTTCAGATCAGTCTTGATTGTTAACTTGCTTTCGCTGAACCTAGTACTCCTCAGAGCCAGTCACATGAATACCCACAGATGTCAACGTGTAACGTGCAGGCTCCTCTCCTGGAATGTGATTCCTAAAGGGCGTTGCATCCGCAGCACCTGGTGGAGTGTCTAACACGTCGTGTGCAACTATCAGTATTTGTTGAATGAACAAATCTATGAATGAACAAATGAAGATAAATATTTAGATTGCTCATGGTAGGGGGAGAGGCAGAGGGAGAGGGAGAAAGAATCTCAAGCAGACTCCCCACTGAGCACAGAGCCCAGTATAGGGTTCAATCTCCCGACCCTGAGATCATGACATGAACCAAAACCCAGAGTCAGATGCTTAACAGACTAAGCCACCCAGGTGCCCCTAATTTAATAATTCTTAAATTTACCAACCATCCCCGTCATCCAACTTCATAACATTTCATCACTTCTGTAAGATCCCACATGCCCTGTAAGAGATAATCTCCATTCCCACCACAATCCCAAGAAAACACTTGCATATTTTATGTCTCTGTAGATTTACCTGTTCTGGACATTTCATAAATGGAATCATATAACATTGTGGTTTTTTTATGTCTGTTTTTTTTTTCATGTAGATGGTGTTTTTGAGATTCATCCATGCTGTATCCTCAACCAGTATCTCATTTCCTTTAGCACTGAGTAGTATTTCATTTAATGGGTTTACCAGTGTTTTGCTTTGTTTCTTAGTGCTTTCACAAGCTGATGGACTTTGTGCTTGTTTCCACTTGTTGCCTATTATGAACAATGCTGCTGTGAATGTTCACGTGCAGGTCTTTGCGTGGACACATGTTTTCATGTGTCGTGCCTAAGGCCCCGGAGGTGGAATGGCTGGGTCATATGGTAAATGTATGTTTGACTTTGTGAGGAGCTATCAGGTTGTTTTCCAAAGTGGCTGCACCATTTTCAGTGTCCACAAGAGTCAAACTGTGGTAGGAGCCTCGGTGTCCATCGAAAGATGAATGGATAAAGAAGATGTGGTCTATGTATACAATGGAATATTACTCAGCCATTAGAGACGACAAATACCCATTTGCTTCGAGGTGGATGGAACTGGAGGGTATTATGCTGAGTGAAATAAGTCAATTGGAGAAGGACAAACATTATATGGTCTCATTCATTTGGGGAATATAAAAAATAGTGAAAGAGAATAAAGGGAAAGGAGTGAAAATATCGGTGAGGGTGACAAAACATGAGGGACACTTAACTCTGGGAAATGAACAGGGGGTAGTGGAAGGGGAGGTGGGCGGGGGCTTGGGGTGACTGGTGATGGGCACTGAGGGGGGTACTTGGTGGGATGAGCACTGGGTGTTATTCCATATGTTGGCAAATTGAACTCCAATTAAAAAAATTTAAAAAACAAAACAAAAACCCAAAGTAGCTGCACCATTTTATACTCCCACCAGCCACAGAGAAGGGGTCTACTTTTTCCACATCCCAGTTACTTGCTTTTGTCCATGTTTTGATTGTAACCATCCTAGTGAGTGTCACCTGGTATTTCACCAAGGTTTTGGTTTGCGGTTTGCATTTCCCCACAGGTAATGACATGGAGTATCTCTTCATGTATTTATTGGCCATTTGTAAGCAGATAAGTTTTTTTTTTAAGATTTTATTTATTTATTCATGAGAGATACAGAGAGAGAGGCAGAGACACAGGCAGAGGGAAAAGCAGGCTCCCTGTGGGGATCTGGATGTGGGACTCGATCCCAGGACCCGGGGATTACCACCAGAGACAAAGGCAGATAGATGTTCAACTACTAAGCAACCCAGGCATCCCTGCGGATAAGTTTTTAATGGCTTGATTGACTTTAGTTGCTGAAGAGTGGGCTCAGTTTATAAATTCTCCACCACATACAACCCTTTCTCATTCAAGTGCTCAGTCAATGTTTCCTGAGTGGGGGATCCTCTTCCAGACTGGAGTGGGGGTGAGAGGTGGGGGGAGGGCCTCAACTCAGTCTTCCTCTTTAGTGTATCCTGCCACCAGCCCCACCACTGCCCTGGGTAGGGGTGTGGGCTCATCAGACTCTTTTCTTTCTACTTCTTTTCCTTTCTTTTCTGTCTGCTTATTTTCCCCTCACGTTTCAGTTAAAAAAATAATAATGATCTTTATTAGTGTATCATTTTTTTTATTGTGGTAGAACGTGGATAACAAAATTTACCCCTTTAACCATTTTTAAGTGTACAGTTCTATAGCATTTTGCCATTCATACTGTTCTGCAAACATCACTGTCCTTCATCTCTAGAAC